CAGCAAGTGGCAGAGAGAGCGAGCTTTGTGAGTACAGGGGTTTTATAGGGGGGTTGGAGTAAGGGGAGGAGAGAGGACTGTGGGCCCTGCCGATTGGCCAGGCGCAAGTCGGTGCTTTGTTACACAGGATGTGGTCGTATCTATGGCACACACTTCCCTTGATTATCATTGGTTAGTTTAAAGAAATCCTAGGTGTGGCTAGCAGAGGCTTGAGCTTCCAGGAAGAAGCTCCTTGCTGAGCACATGGCTGCTGCCCAAAAATGGAGGATTCCGGGCAAGATGGAGGGCGTAGCCCTCGCCCTTTCAATGTCCACGTGCATAGTTTAAAAAAATATATATCAATGTGCATAAAAAAGGGGTTCTGTGGCCCTAGCCGGTTTGGCTCAGTGGATAGAGCATTGGCCTGTGGACTTAGGATTTGATTCTGGTCAAGGGCACATGCCTGGGTTGCAGGCTTAACCCCAGTAGGGGGCGTGCAGGGGGCAGCCGACCAATGATTCTCTCTCATCATTGATGTTCTATCTTTCTCCCTCTCTCTGCCTCTTTGAAATCAATAAAAATATATTTTTCTAAAAAAAGGGGTGTTGGGTGGAAAGTTGTTGGGGTCCTGCCCCAGCAGGTCCAGGGGTTCCCAAAGGTGTGGACAGAGTCAGTGAAGAAGGAATAACACGGAGACAGCGTTCAGTTGATCAGCAGCCTAGCCAGGTTCTCTAGCCAGGTTCTAGCCAGGATCTCCAGCCAGGTTCTGTGTTTATTGTCCTGTTAAATCTGTATTTATACTAGTTGACTTTAATCCTATCCATTCTATTTCAATGGTTGGAGTGTTTCTTATCTCCATTCCAAGGTTACTCTATTGTCTTATTAAGTTACAAGGGAGTAACTGAAGGAGATTATCCTAAGTAAAGATTATGTAGCTTAAGCGTGATTGTTCATAGTTAAAGTGATTAATTACCCGCCTGGCACTTAGTTAAGGGATTTTACTCCCCCCCTAACTCCAGGGAAAAATCCTCACCTGGGGAAACAACCTTTCTCGGGGAGGTGGTCCTGTTTAAAACACATGTCGTTAAGAGGGGGAGCAAACATATGCCATATACGCCAGGTCCCTTGAAACATGAGCTGTGCAGATGTTTCTTCCCTGCAGCGACTGGGTTAAGCAGCAAGGATGGACTGGCTTCTGGCAGAAAGTAACCTCACAAAGTGATCTAATCATTAATTCCAAACTGGATAGGTCATGAGGGATAGTCACTCTCTAAAGCTATAACTTCTTTAGTGGAAGATTCTAAGCTAGCCCTGTTCATTGTTCCTTTGCATCTAGTTTAACACACCTTTGATGTTTTTATTTAATCTTCACCCAAAGCTGTTTTCTTTTTTAATATATTTTTATTGATTTTAGAGAAGAAGGAAGAGGGAGAGAGACATAGAAACATCAATGATGAGAGAATCGTTGACTGGCTGCCTCCTGCACACCCCCTACTGGTGATCAAGCCCACAATGCACGCATGTGCCCTTGACCAGAATTGAACCTGGGACCTTTAGTCTGCAGGCCTACGCTCTATCTACTGAGCTATATCAGCTAGGGCAAATGTCTTTTTATTGATTTTAGAGAGAGGAAGGGAAAGAGAGAGAGAGGAAGAGAAAAATAGAAGTGAGGGAGAAACACTGATTGGTGCCTCTATGTGTGCCTGACTGGGAATTGAACCTGCAACCTGGTTACGTGGGCTGATTGACTGGAAATCAAACACGCAACATTTTGGTGTAGAGGACATTCCACCCAACTGAAATGCCAGTGCTAAAATGCCAGAAGCAATACCCTGGAAGGGGGTATTTGCCCTCAAGGGAACACATACTTTTGTTAACTATTCTGTAATCCAGCGGTTCTCAACCTGTGGGTCGTGACCCCTTTGGGGGTCGAACGACCCTTTCACAGGGGTCGCCTAAGACCATCGGAAAACATACATAATTACATATTGTTTTTGTGATTAATCACTATGCTTTAATTATGTTCAATTTGTAACAATGAAAATACATCCTGCATATCAGATATTTACATTACGATTCATAACAGTAGCAAAATTACAGTTATGAAGTAGCAACGAACATAATTTTATGGTTGGGGGTTACCACAACATGAGGAACTATATTAAAGGGTTGAGGCATTAGGAAGGTTGAGAACCACTGCTGTAATCCAATTTGCTTTCTCCAATCTTCCTTACATGCATTCCTTAATTTCCAATGCATAAATGAAGCTGCAAGACTGTTATTTTTGGGAGCATTTGAGATCTTGCTCCCTAGCATATGTCATTAGTTTGGCTCAAATAAACTCTTACAAAAATTCTCAATACATTTGGACAGTCTTATGTTGACAATCCATCAGGCCTCAGCTTGAGTTAGAATGGAAAAATCTTTTTTTTTAAAATATATTTTACAGAGAGGAAGGGAGAGGGATAAAGAGTTAGAAACATTGATCAGCTGCCTCCTGCACACCCCTACTGAGGATGTGCCCACTGTTATGCCCAGATTTCAAGATCCCCAACAGACCAACAGGGAGCCAGCCAAGTCCGAAGCAAAAGCAGAGAGTCCTTTATTATTATTACAGACCCGGGTCTGGCTCCCAGCCTCTTCCGACGCAACGGCAAGAGGAGAGAGAGACCGCCGTGAGAAAAAACAGGGTTTTAATAGGGGGTGGAGTGAGGGGAGGGGAGCTGACTGTGGGCCCTGCCGATTGGCCAGGCGAAAGCCGGGTCTTGTTACATAGGATGCGGTAATTTCTATGGCACGCACATCCCTCAACTGTCATTGGTTAGTTTAAAGAAATCCCGGGCGTGGCCAGCAGAGGCCTGGGCTTCCAGGAAGAAGGTCTGAGCACATGGCTACTGCCCCAACATGGAGGATACGGGGCAAGATGGAGGGTATGGCCCTCACCCTTTCACCCACAACCAAGGTACATGTCCTTGACCAGAATAAACCTGGGATCCTTCAGTCCACAGGCCGATACTTTATCCACTGAGTCAAACCAGCTAGGGCAAAATGGAAAAATCTTGGTAAATAATATTGGATTAAAAGAAAATGTGAAATGAATAAATATGTGATAAACCTATAAATTAAATGAAAATGTGTTGTTTTAAAGAAAACAATTGCCCAGCCAATGTGGCTCAGAAGTGGAGCGTCAACCTATGAACCAGGAGGTCATGGATTGATTCTGAACAGGGCACACCCCTGGGTTTCTGGTTCTATCTCCACTAGGAGGCAGCTAATCAATGATTCTCTCTCATCATTGATGTGTCCATCTCTCTTTTCCTTCCCCTCTAAAATCAATAAAAATATATTTAAGAAAAAAAAAGAACTGCCCCAAGTAACTCTTGGATTAAATTTCATAAGAATAATATGAAAACAAAAAAACAAACAAAAAAATTTCGCTCATTTGTTAAAGAGAAATTATCTTTTTTCCTTTTTTTTAAAGGTTTTTTCTTCTTTTTAGCTATTACCTTGGTGAGGGGTGGGGTTCTGGGGAAAAAAACTTGGTAACACTTAAATGATTTTTTAAAAATATTATTGAAAATATTGTCTATGTCCATTTTTTGCCCCCATTGACCCCTTCTAGCCCACCCTCACCCTTTGCCCCTTCCCCACCCCATTGTCTGTGTTCATAGGTTATGAATATTTGCTTAAAAGTTATTTGGTTGACCTTGTCCCACCCTCTCACCCGCCCTTATCTTCCTTCTGAGGATTATCTTCTTTGGCACACTCTCTTCACTCCCATTGATAAACAAACAAACAACACATTTTCATTTTTGCAAGCACTGAATTTTGCATTTGAAGATGAAGCAGTTCTTCAAAACAAAATGTCACTCTAAATCAATTTTGATAGTTCAAAAGGAACTTTGAGCATTATATAGAGCAGGGTTTAGCAAATTATTTTGTAAAGGGCTAAACAACACACAATTTGATTCTTGCCTGGCCAACATGGTTCAGTGGTTGAGTGTTGACCTATGAACCAGGAGGTCACTGTTCGATTCCCAGTCAGGGCACGTGCCCGGATTGTGGACTATATCCCAGTGTGGGGCATGCAGGAGGCAACTGGTCAATGATTCTCTCTCATCATTGATGTTTTTATCTCTCTCTCTTCCTCTCTGATGTCAATAAAAATATATACTTTAAACAACACACAATTTAAGCTTTGTGGGTAAAAGGAAGCAGAATTTGCCATCCCAAAACATGCTCCTTTGACATAAGGAATATTTTAGGAAACTGCAGACATAGGAGCATCTTTGAAAACCAACATTGCATAGTCAACGTGGCTCAGTGGTTGAGCATCGACTTATGAACCAGGAGATCATGTTTGATGGTTCAATTCTCAGTCAAGGGCACATGCCTGGGTTGCAGTCTCAGTCCCTAGTAGGGGGTGTGCAGGAGGCAGCTGATCAATGATTTTCTCTCATTATTGCTGTTTCTCTCTCTTTCTCCCCCTCTCCCTTTCTCTCTGAAATCAATTAAAAAAAAAGAAAATCAAATTATATTTTTGTAAGAGACATTTATATTTATAAAGAAAATCTCCATTTGGAAGGATGTCTTTCTATCCATTGTTTTGGTACATCTAGGTTAACACATCTTTGTTGTTGTTTTATTTTATTAAATCTTTATTGCTGAAAGTATTAAAGAGTCCCTTTTCCCCTCATTGAACCCTCTGGACTGCCCCCACCCCCTGCCCCAGCTCTTCACCATCCTATTGTCTGCATCCAGGGATTAACACACCTTTGAAATGCCTCTTTTTTAGACCCCTCATAAGGGTAACCACCCTCAAGTGAGCACATAATCTTACTAGCCTGTAAGGCATTACAGAAATTTCCCCACCTTACTTTATCTACTTTCATATAATCTTCTTTACACTCCCTCCTCAGTTCCAACTGCATATAAAGGGATGCAGACTTGCCTACCAGACTCCAGCTGGCAGGAAGACAGTTCTCACCTGAGTCCTTGCTTGTGGATAGGTGCCGTCAGACATGCCCTCCAACAGGCCCGGAGCAATTGGGAGGCGCAGGAGGATCACGTACAGCAAAGACCAACTGAAGGTCCTTTTCGAGGCCTTTGAAAAGGACCCATATCCTGATATTACTGTCCGAGAAGAACTAGCCAAGCAAATCCAGATTCCTCAGTCAAGAATCCAGGTATGGTTTCAGAACCGCAGAGGCAGAAAACCCAAGAACACCCAGAAGAGCCCCCAGCGGGAGGCAGACGCTGCGGCTCCCGGATCCCGCCAGGGTGCACGCCCTGCCCCCCGCCACTATGGCTTCCAGGGCCTTTCCCCCCCACGTGGCTCCGGCTCTATGAGCTATGCCATCCGATTCTCCTGCGGGGTGGAGCAAGCCTCTGGGCAAGCAGGCCTCTGGGGGCACACTGGTGTGCTGGGCGCGAATGCGACCTCTCCCAACCTGGAGACTCCAGCCGAGGCCCTGGGGGCACCTTCTGGGAGTCCCTATTGTTCCCCGTCTTGGGAATTCAGCCCTTCAGCTATGGGTGCATGTCCTGCTCCCCAACAGCCCTTCTTCCAGGGAGAAGCTGGTGGCATCGGCACTCCGCTGGGGGACCCCGGGCCGCTCAGGATACATGGTGACTGCACCCTGCAAGGGTGGGGGCAGCACTTTCCGTCTGATGGGCAGCAGCCATGGCAGGGCTGGCAGCATCCAGCTGATTGGGGGCCAGGGTTGGCTCCCCAGAAGCCACTGTTCCAGTACCCTGGAGCCTGGAGGCAGCCTCCTCCCTGAGGCCTGATGCGTGGAGGAGGAGGAGGAGGAGGAGGATGAGGAAGTGGAGGAGGAGGAGGAGGAGGAGGAGGAAGAGGAATAAAAAGCAAAGCAAAGCAAAACAAAACAAAAAACAAAAAAAAAAAACAAAAAGAAAAAAGAGAAAAAAAGAGTTCTGGATGGGTCCATTACTTGGAAAAGACATACATGCTGCGGAAAGACCAAGAACAGGACACGCTTTGAATTGGTTGCTGTGCCCGGACGCTGACCCGGTGACCTGGGAGTTTGCCTCGGAACGCTGACCATCCCCAGGCCCAAGAACAGGCTGAGCCAGTGATGGCGAACCTATGAACTCATTTTTTTTTCTTGATTTTTCTTTGTTAAATGGCATTTAAATATATAAAATAAATATAAAAAAATATAAGTCTCTGTTTTACTATGGTTGCAAATATCAAAAAATTTCTATATGTGACACGGCACCAGAGTTAAGGTAGGGCTTTTCAAAATGCTGACATGCCGAGCTCAAAAGGTTCGCCATAGCTGGTGAGCTGTTGGTAACATCTGAGAAGACTGGCCACCTTGTTATGGGACTTGGAGCTCCTGAAGGATGGACTGCAGACCCTCCCTTCCGCTTCCAGGTTACATTTGCAGCAGGTGGCTATCTTCTCCCTCATGGTGAGGACGTGAGAGCAGAATCCAGGGTGACCGACTGCTCTCCCATACTGCCTTCATTATCGGAATAAGGGGTAAGTACGGAGACCCCGCGGGCTGCCTGGACCGGGGGTTCCTGGGGCTGGGGTCGGGACTTTTTTTTTTTTTTGCAGCGCTGCCAGGAATATTCCTGCGGAGTCCACTCTCAGCCCCAGCAATCCCAGTCCTTCCACTTAGGTTGAATCAAGCATTGCTGTATGACACAAGAAGCATTTACTGCCTCTAGTCTGGGCGAGCCAGATCAGGTCCGGGTGGCAAGACACCTCCAACGGTTTTTGGCTGGTCCGCTAGCCCTTAGTCAGATCTGCTCTGGGAGGACAGGCATGGCTCTGCTTTAGTGATTTATTTATTTTTTATTATTATTTTATATCAGAGAGAAAGGGAGAGGGAGAGAGAGAAATCTCAATGAGAGAGAATAATTGATTGGCTGCCTCACATCAGGGACTGAGCCCACAACCCGGGCCTGTGCCCTGACCAGGATCCAACCGTGACCTGATTCATAGGTCCAACTCAACCACTGAGCCACGCCAGCTGGGCTTTTTATTTTTATTTTAAATGCTAGGGCATTCTGAGGTTTCTGGCTGGAAAGACAAGAAACGTGGTGTGAAGCTTTTGTCTGTGGGTAGTGCGAGCCTGTAAATAGTGTACATAGTGTCTCTGTTGATAGTTGCTTTGTGTCTCTGTTGTTTGGTTTAATTTGTCTAAAGATGGGGGTAGGTCCCACTTGGCTGAGGGCCCCGACTGCTTGTGGCAGGTTGAACCCATGGCAGGGATTGCAGACACTTCCCAGCAGCTGCTGAGAGTTCTTTCTCTCCAGGACCTTCCCTGCTCTTCCTCTCAAGGCAAGGCAGTGGCAGCCCCCGATGCTTAGCTAGTGAGAGTTCTTGTGTGCCTGTAATGTAACTATGGTTACAGACGTTATTTGCTTGCTTTCTTATCTTTTGGAGACTTGGTTTGCTCTTCACTGTTTTATGAACACTGGGAATGCTCCGTCTCTGTTTTTTTGGGCTTTGTGACACTCAGACCTTGTGATGGTAATTTGCTATGCAGGTTGGTGTGAGAGGAGATTCTAAAGCTAGTGTCCCAGTCCCTCCTTTTGAGAATACTCATTTTATTTTATTTTAGAGATTGTTTTCATTATGACCAGTTGTTCTACCATTTGGTCAATTTGCATATTACCCCTTTATTATATAAACTAGAGGCCCGGTGCACAAAAATTTGTGCACTCAGGGGGGCGGTCCCTCAGGGGGCCTATGCCCTCTCGCAGTCTGGAACCCCTCGGAGGATGACCACTTTCTGGCTTAGGCCTGCTCCCCACTAGATTGGGCCTAAGATGGCAATCAGACATCCCTCTGGCAGCCTGGCAGCCCTCGGGGGATGTCCACTTGCCAGCGGGGGATGTCCACTTGCCAGTGGGGAGCAGACCTAAGCTGCAGTCAGACATCCTTAGCTCTGCTGAGGAGGCAGGACAGGCTCCCACCACCACCACTGTACTGGCAGCCATCAGCCTGGCTTGTGGCTGAGCAGAGCGACCCCCTGTGAGAGCACCCTGACCACCAGAGGGCAGCTCCTGCATTGAGCGTCTGCCCCCTGGTGGTCAGTGTGTGTCATAGTGAACAGTTATTCCCAGTCCTGCTGTTAGGGTCTGTTTGCATATTACCCTTTTAGTATATAGGATAGAGGCCTGGTGCACGGGTGGGGGCTGGCTGTTTGCCCTGATGGGTGTCCCGGATCAGGGTGGGAGTCCCGCTGGGGTGCCTGGCCAGCCTGGGTGAGGGGCTGAGGGCTGTTTTCAGGCTGGCCACACCCCCTTCAGGGTGGGGGTCCCGCTTGGGTGCCTGGCCAGCCTGGATGACAGGCTAATGGCTGTTTGCAGCTGGTCACACCCCCTTCAGGGTGGGGTCCCCACATGGGGTGCCTGGCCAGCCTGGGTGAGGGGCTGAGGGCTGTTTTCAGGCTGGAGAGCGACTGAAGCTCCAAGCCTCTTTTTTTTTTCTTTTTTTTTTTTTTTATTCTGAGATTTATTTACCTTCTATAGCTGTCACTGGAGCTGAGAGCCAGCTCAAGCTCTGAGGCCGTGGCTGGCTGAAAGCAGGTATCTGGGTTTGTTTAGCTTCTATAATTGAAACTCTGTTGCCATCACTGGTGCTCTAAGCTCTGAGCCCACTGCCTGCTGAAAGCAGGTGTCTGGGGTTTATTTAGCTTCTATAATTGCAACATTGTTGCATCCGGAGCTCAGAGCTGGGCTGCCGCAGGCGGGGAACCTTGGCTTCCTCCATTACTGGAGCAAGCAAGCCTCCTGCTCGCTTCAGCTGCATGGCTGCCAGCTGCCATCTTGGTGGCAGTTTATTTGCATATTCTACTGATTAGCCAATGGGAAGCATAGCAAAGGTATGGTTAATTACCATGTTTGTCTATTATTAGATAGGATATCTCTTAAAAATGTGAGTGTACTGCTAATCTGAGGAATGTTAATTACTTGTCACCTAAAAATTAAGGTTTCTAAGAGTTAAGAATTCTAAATAATTGGAAAGAAGTTGAGTGGTTTTGGTAAGAGAGGCATGAGGTATAAAGATGCATTTGAAAGGAAAAGAGAAAAGAGAGTTGTTCTATAGCTGGTTATTTCTGAATGGATAAGATGGTTTGTGAAAGTTGTAGAAAGGTTTGAAAGTCATAGAAGGGTTGTGAAGAGAAATCTTAAAAGGAAATTATAGGTATACTGAATGATAAATATAATTAGATAAATTAATCTAAAGTAAACTAATAATTTTTTTGCTTCTTTGCTAGTCTGTATGGATGAAAAGGGGCCACATGCTAATTTGGCAAGCTCAGGGAAGGCCTGCATGGCAGCCTTACAACCACTAAGGATAGTCTAAAGTTAAAACCTTTCCTTAAAAAGCAGTTTATAGTGGGTACTCATGATTAGGCCAGTAACTTCCCTGATAAAGATCAACTTTTATATTAACTGAGCCTATTGTTTTTTCTCATCTATGATAATTTGTAACTTCTCTTTTTCCCTCAGGGCACAACCAATGCACCCGGGTGGAGACCACAAATCCTGTATCCACCGATGTAAAAGAAGCACGTATCTAAAAGGAAAAGTATTTCCTGTATTTGCCTAGGAAGCAAAGGTTTTACATATTTTTGAAATAATAATGTTACTCGGGTACTTGATTACTTAAAAACCCACCTTCTTAATCATAAGAATTGAAATTTTACTGGCCTCTGTTTGTGTTTAATATCTTTGGTTGTCACTTTAAATGAACAAAATTACTTAACACTGTTTGGTAATAGTAATAGTAATATATAATCTTTTGGTTTAATAAATTTATCAGCCTTCCCAAGGTTTGCATTTTAAAGAAACTTTCTTGACTTATAATTGGCTTTATGTCATTCCAATAGGCCCCACAATGCCTCAAGGATTTGCTTTCTCTCCTCATAAAGGAAAACATTATACTTAAGGTACATGGAAAACTCTGCCAAATAAAGAAATAATAACTATATTATATTTATATCTATATATTTTAAAATATATATTGATACATATTAAAATGGATTCTCCAGAGGCTATATAAAAAAACTTCCCAGTCTATGAAATTCTGAAATAATTTTATCTATAACTCTGATTGTCATTCTGCAAGGTTATGTTGCAAAAAGGACAGGATTATATGTAAACTAGAGGCCCGGTGCACGAAACTTGGGCATTGAAGGGGATGGGGGGAGATGTCCCTCAGCTCCACCTACACCATCTCCAATCTGGGACCCCTCAGGGGATGTCCAACTGCTGACTTAGGAGCGATCCTAAACTGACAGCCGGACATCCATTTCACAATCCAGGACCACTGGCTCCTAACCACTCATCTGCCTACCTGCCTAATACCCTCAACGGCCCTCCCTTGGAGGCTTGGTCACCCCCAACAGCCTTCCCCTGCAGGTCAGTTTGCCCCCAATTGCCCTCCCCTACCAGCCTGGCCCCAACGGCCCTCCCTTTGCAGGTATGGTTGCCCCAAACAGCCCTCCCCTGCTGGCCTGATCACCCCCAACTGCCCTCCCTTGCAAGCCAGTTCGCCTCCAACTGCCCTCCCTGCCAGCCTGGTCACCCAACCTGTTCACCCCAATGGCCCTCCCCTGCAGGCCTGGTTGCCCCCAACTGCCCTCCCCCTGCAGGCCAGTTTTCCCCCAACTGCCCTCCCCTGACAGCCTGATCTCACCCTTAACTGCTCTCCCCTGCAGGGCTGATCGCCCCTAACTGCTTCTGCCTTGGCCCCAACCACCATGTCTTTGTCCGGAAGAAAGTTGGACATCTGGAA